TGCTAGTCTAGTGGTCTGTTACGTTATCTCCCTTAAGGAGCTCTGTGTGGGTTGCATTTGGGGCATCCTTATTTTAGAGCATGGATAGAGGAAAAGGGGAGTTCAACGATTTCTGCAGTAGTCCAAGTGTGAGATAACGGCGAAACCAAAATGTAAATTGTAGTCGACACAAGTATTGACTCTACTAAACGCTTCCAGTTAAGTCTAAAGCTGACTGGGAAGACTTAACAAAGGGATCTCACCAAGCTGAGTGACTGGGCAACAAAGTGGCAGATAAAATTCAATAAATGCAAATTAATGCATGTTGGAAAAATAGTCCCAACTATACATACAAAATGGTGGGGTCTAAATTAGCTGTTACCACTCAAGAAAGAGATCTTGGAATCATTGTAGCTAGTTCTCTGAAAACATCCACTCAATGTGCAGCGGCAGTCAAAAAAGCTAACAATATTAGGAGCCATTAGGAAGGAAGAGATAGATAATAAAATAAAATGTCATAATGCCGCTATATAAATCTATGGTATCTCCACACCTTGAATAATGCATGCAGTTCTGGTTGCCTCATTTAGAAAAAAATATTAGAAGTGGAAAAGGTACATAGAAGGGCAACAAAAATGATAGGGGTATGGAACAGCTTCTGTATGAGGAGAGGTTAAAAAGATTGGGACTGTTCATTTAAGAAAATAGATGACAAATGGGAGATATGATAGAAGTCTATAAAATCATGACTGGTGTGGAGAAAGTGAGTAAATAAGACTTCCTTATTCAGTCTCATAACACAAGAAAAAGGGGTCACCCAATTAAACTAATAGGCAGCAGGCTTAAACAAATATAAGGAAATACTTCTTCACACAATGCGCAGTCAGTCATCCTGTGGAACTCATTGCCTGGGGATGTGGTGAAAACCAAAACTAGAACAGTGTTCAAAAAAGAGCTAGATAAGTTCATGGAGAATAGGACATCACTGGCTATTAGCCAAGATGGTTAGGACATAACCCCATGCTCCGGGTGTCCCTAAATCTCCAATTGCCAGAAACTGGGACTGGATGACGGGATAGATCACTCGAAATTGCCTTGTTCTGTTCATTCCCTGTGAAGCCTCTGGCACTGGTCAGAGACAGGATACTGAGCTAGATTGACCATTGGTCTGACCCATATCTGTTATGTTCTTTATTTCTTAATACTAAAATAAAACTTAAGCTCCTGGGAAGTGTTACATTGTCAAATGGAGCCATATTAGGTTTGCTTAAGACAGAGCTTTGACTCTGTTTCTTGTCCAGTTCCAGTTATACTAGACTCTGGTGTTATCAAAACTAATGCTGGTAACTGTGAAGGTTTAGATAGATTCCTACATATATGTGAAAGAGACCCCTGGATCTGTCCATTTGCTGGTGAAAAAATTCTAAAGATCTTATAAACTTTTACCCTCCCATTGGATTCTGAGAGTCTTTGGGACTTGAATTTGTTGTTAACCAATACAAGGACCCTATGTGTGTCACTTGATATAAAAATCTAAGGGTAAAAGCATCCATTCATTCTGTAAACGGAGGGAATAAAAGGAATCCAAACAATGGTATTGGTCCACTACTAGATGTATATAGTAGAATTATCAATAATAATCAGAAAAGGTAGAAGTGTTCAATAAATATTTCTGTTCTTGCTTTTCTAAATTACTGCAGAAAAATCTAGTGTTATATGATGATGATAGCTTCCATTCTTGCATTAACCCAGGGAGATGTAGCTGTTTAACTACACCTAGACATTTTAAAATCAGCAAGTCCAGATAAGTTGCACCCAAGAATTTTCTAAAAAAGCTGGTTGTGGCATTCTAGACTGTTAATATAAATTGTTCTATAAGTCTTCAGGCATTGGGGAATTCCAGATGACTGGGAGAAAGCTAATTTTGTGCCAATATTTTAAAAGGGTGAAAGGAATGAGTTGGATAACTCATGCCTGTTAGCATGACATCCATCATGGGCAAAACAATGGAACAGCTGATGTGGGACTCAGTTAAAGGAGGGTAATTAATGCCAATGAACATGGGTTTATGGAAAATAGATCTTATCCAGTTCAATATCTCTTTTGATGAGCATACAACTTGGGTTGAAGATAAATAATGTTGATGTAATATACTTCAGTAAGGCATTTGACTTGGTACAGCATGACATTTTGATAAAGAAGCTAGAATGATACAAAATCAACATGGCACACATTAAATGGGTTAAAAGCTTGCTAACACGGGTCTAATAATTGCAAATGGGGAATCATTGTTGAGTGGCTCTGTTTCTAGCGGGGTCCACCTGGGATCAGTTCTTGGTCCTTTGCTATTTAACACTTTTATTAATGACCTGACAGAAAACAATCACTGATAAAACTTACAAATGACCACACAAATTGCGGAAGTAGTAAATAATGCCGAGGGTAGGCCACCGATAGAGTGATCTGGATCACTTGGCTAGCTGGGCAGGAGCAAACAGTGTGTGTTTTAGTACAGCTGAATATAAATGTATACATTTACGAACAAAGAATGTAGGCCATACTTACAGGATGGAGGACTATATCTTGCGAAGCAGTGACTCTGAAAATGACTTGGGCGGAGGAGACTGGAAATAAGGCATATGTTTTTAACACTAAGGGCAATTAACCACTGAACAACTTACCAAGGCTTGTGGTGATTTAAAAGTTCCCAGTGATAGAGAATCCAAGTTTAGATGCTTTTGTGAAAGATAAGCTGTAATTCAAACAGGAATAAATTCAGGGAAGTCCTGTATTATGCAGGAGATCAGAGTAGATGGTCACAATGGTTCCTTCTAGCCTTATGTTATGTATGAAATACCCCATCTCCTTTTAACTAAGCCTCAGTTCCTCTCTACATCCACAATACTTATTTGGAGCTGAATTACTTCCACTTTGTAAGGAGGAAGAGCGTTTGTGGAGGCAATACATTCACATAATAAGAGTTACTGCTGGTGAACTTCTTTTTCCTTCTTCCTGACTCTCCTTCAGTAGGGCTCTGTAGCTGCTGACTGGTTAACAGTGACTCTTCTCAGGACAAGGGCTGAGGAACTCTGCTAGTTGAATAGAGGAATTCATGAATGTGAACCAGATGCCACATACAGCCAGAGGTATGTTCTGCTGAGCTGCAGTATGCACAGGGCCCTGGTTAGTTATAGTTTTCTGAAGTGTATATATAAAGAAAAATCTAACCTCTTATTTGGTGCAGTTGGTAACTGAAGGTGAGAATTAATAAGATTAAACCATAAGGTACTTTTAAATAGGTATGTACACCTGTCTTTCTTCGTTCTGCATGAAGTTCTAATGGTGAATTTGGAGAGCACGGAGGACGTGTGTGTTATTACTGAGGGTTTTGAAATGTGTCCCTTGAAATTGTATCTCGTTTATTGCTCAATGCAAGTGTTTTTTTTTTAAGCAAGATCTCTTCTGAACCTGGAAGGAACCTCTGTATACCAATACATTCATTCATCCTTTAGCCAGTGTCCCCTGCTATCTCTGTAGGCGGTGTACATGAAAGTGCTATCCAGGTGTGTTGTGGGCTCATTCTTAAATTCAACAAAGAAATCTTGTTGGGAGGCCGGGACCGTTGATAAGCTGTCTTTGTACTCCCAGTTGTGTAGGGGGAGCATTTAGAATTGTGAGACAGGGTTAAGAAACTTGGTAATGTATCTGACCATGCATTTTCCATGAGCAGTCCCCATATGTGATAGAAACAGTTTTTGTCAACTGCACAGTTTGCACTCAATCCATAAGCAGTTCCAAAGTACCATGGGCCCTTAGGCTGTGACATTTGTTCAACAGCAACTCATCATCGCAAGGCCTGAGTATTATAAATTCCCTGTAACGCTTTCAGCAGGGCTCTTCTGTTTTACTGTGGGATGTAGAATGCCACACTGTACACCATCTGATCACACGATTGAGCAGTTGTCATTATATTATGGTTCTCTATACTGACTGCCTATTAAGGAGCAGTCTGACTTTTAAATTGGTTGTTTAATCTTTCAGTGAGCCCAGGGTCTTGTGCATTTAAACAGAACAGAATTTTGTTCTGATAGGTATTTGCGCTTTCAGAGCTCCCACCATCTAGGAGTTTTGCCACCATGCATTGGATCAGGGTGATTGCACTCTCTGCTGTGGTAACTCCTGTGAAGTGATGCCTGCTTCCCCCAGCTATCGGAATCTGCCTTGGCTCATTCCTCTGTACACTATAAAATCAAATTGTGGGGTGTTATAATTCCACAGAATTTGTGTGATCAGATATCCGTCCTAGAGATGATGGAAGGAAACATGCAGGCCCCTTTGTTACACAGCATGATTAGGGCCCTACCAAATTCATGGCCATGAAAAAACGTCAGACTGTGAAATCTGGTCTTTTGTGTGCTTTTACCCTATACTATGCAGATTTCATGGGGGAGACCAGCGTTTCTCAAATTGGGAGTCCTGGCCCAAAAGGGAGTTGCGGGGGGGGTCACCCTTATTCTGCACTGACTTCAGAGCTGGGTGGCTGGAGAGTGGCAGCTGTTGGCTGGGTGCCCAGCTCTCAAGGCAATGCCCCACCAGCAGCAGTGTAGAAGTAAGGGTGGCAATACCATATCATGCTACCTTTACTTCTGCGCTGCTGCCTTCAGAGCTGGGTGGCCGGACAGTGGCGGCAGCTGACTGAGGGTGGGCCCTGCTTTGCAAGGAGCAGCACAGAAGTAAGGATGGCAATACCATACCATGTCATCCTTACTTCTGCTTGCTACTGGTGGCGGTTCTGCCTTCAGAGCTGGGCTCCCAGCCAGCAGTCGCCGCTCTCCAGCTGCTCAGCTCCGGAGGCAGCGCTGCCACCAGTAGAAGTAAGGGTAGCAGTACTGCAACCCTCCCTACAATAACCTTGCAACCCTCCCACACAACTTATTTTTGGGTCAGGACCCCTACAATTACAACACTGCTAAAATTTCAGATTTAAATAGCTGATATCGTGAAATTTACAATTTAAAAAAATCCTATGACCGTGAAATTGACCAAAATGGATTGTGAATTTGGTAGGGCCCTAAGCATGATCATAACCATCCCAAAGTGTTTGTACAGCAGGGAGGGAAGGAACACAAAATGGAGAAATTGCCCGCCTGTGCACAGAAGCATAGAGTCCACTTACCCACTTTGTGCACAAACCTGCAAGTCTTTAGGGGTCAGAGAATATTGTAACAACATTTCCAGAAAGATCAAGGGGCATTGTAAGCCATCAATTGCAGTGTTCTTCTGAATAGTATGAGCTGGCTTTTGGCATGAGATGATACTGTTTGCATTTTAAAAAACCCTGCGAGTGCAATTCAGTTGTGCTGCAATGTAAGTTGTAGAGCTGTCAATGGAAGTTTAACATGGTCAGTAGCCCAAACCGTATTGGTTGCCGAGCTTCTTGTCTGCAAAATGCAGGTGAGATATAAACTGACATGGTGGGATCTCAGAGAGGGGGGGGGGGTGCATGAAGATCTAAAGCAGGACAAGGCTGAGGACGATCTGGAATGTAGGCAAGGTCTGTCTGTCAACTGGCCTTAAATTGGTATTGTTGGGTTTTAAAGCCAGTCTTTCATTCTAGACTGCAGCATAAAGAACCTAAGATCATAGTAGTTCAAACCGTTGAGCAGCATGTTGCAGGATTCTGAATCGGCAAATGATATGTAGGCCTTTTCAGAGGAACTACAGTAATCCTGTGGTTCTGAGAACATGTATTTTTCTGTTTTGAGGTCCTTAATGGCTAAATAAGGGCTCATCCTCTGCATAGCATGCATTTGGGAAAAAATAACTTCAGACAATAGGGACGACATTCCATGGAAAGAGCATGGCAGAAAATGAAGCCAGGATTTTTAATGTGCAGGCTACCTCAGAATGAATCCCTTCAAGTATGATTGTTGTGTTACCTTTACCCAGCACCAAGGCTTGTTTTCAGGAGTTTAAGGACAAGGTAGCTCTGATTTACCCATTGGTAATATGTCCAAACGTTCTTTCAGAACAGATATGGAATGTACAGGATCTGTGAGGCAAGAGGAATTCAGTTGATTGCCCAGTATTTAGAAATCTGCTAGAGGCCTCATTTGCATTGAACAAACAGCTAGGATGATGTTTTGGGGAAATCCATCTTGATGTTCTGGCTTTACATAGCAGTGAGTCTACAGGTGAATATCTTAAGTCCAATTGTGTTTGTGCAGAAAATGTACTGAGCATATATGCTACACTGACAATAGGACATAGACACTTTCCCCTGTCTGGCAGGAGTTCCACTTTTACCCTAAACATAACAAAATTGGCATTAAATATCTTGCAGATTCTTATGTAGAGCTGAATTCTTTCTGGCAGTATGTGTGCTGTGAGTATATCTCTTGTTTTTGGCATCTCTGGAATATGAAGCCAAAACTTTGCCCAACAGACAGTCCTTTTGACTGCTTTTTAGGAGTCAGAGTGATGCACAAATTTCATTGAATAGAACCAGTTGGAGCCACTGTCTGGAAAAAATTTGAGTTCCAGCATGCAACATGGGTTCTGTTTCTGAACATCGTTCTCTGATCAAGATGAAGTAATGTGTGCGGGATTCTGTAGTGTCCCCTTACTGCGCTGCTATGATTCACATAAATGTGTAGAACTGTAGGTAGCAGTTTGGCTAGCCCTTCTATTCCTGTATTTCAAAATTAAGAAGACACTGATCTAATGTATTGCAAAGTACTTGGACTTTTTAAAATCTCTTATAGACATCAGTGTACTATAGGCATATAATGTGACCAGTGGTTTGTATGTGGTCTTTGTGCCCAGACAAAAATCTACCCCTTTAAAAAGTTAACTATATTCTTGTAGTTTTGTGAATGACACATGGGGATGTTAGCGAAATGTTAAGTGTCACTTGCAAAATCCTGCTTTTTACCAAACCTTCATTTTTTTGTGTGTTAACTGTATTTATCATAACAGGACTACAGTGGCAACTGTGTGCTTTTTTTAAGTATGTGGTATATAGCTAGATTGACTGCAATGGGTTTGAAAACCGAGTTTACCCTGTATTATGTTTGCATAGAAAATTTAAATGGCATGTTCTTCCTCCATTCTCCTGTTTAGGATAATTTGCAGTGAGCCTGAATGTACTGTGGCCCTGATTTAATTTTGTGCAGAAATTTTTACAAAGTGTCTTTTTATAAAGACTCAAATGAAAGTTGATTAAAAACAAAATCAAGGTAACTGAAGGTGCACAATGTTTCTTCCGGAGTCACTGGGGATGTTTTGTTTCTATGCAAATTAGCTTTTCCTGGAACTGGAAACATCTGTTCCCAAAAGGCTCGTTATTGAGGTCTCCTCAGGTGTTGGGATATGACTGGGTCCTGCTGGAGATTAAATCTCTCCTCAGTTCCTAATTCTCAGAAGAAAAATGTAGTTTTCAAATACATAGGATATTTATATATCGATTCTTTCTGCTATGGGTAAAAGACACTTGAGTGACTGCATTTGAAATGAATTTAAGATTTATTTCCCTTAAAAATATGATCAGGATCTGAGAGAAACAAACTCCTTATAAAAACAATGAGGAGTCCAGTGGCACCTTAAAGACTAACAAGGTGCCACCGGACTCCTCGTTGTTTTTGTGGATACAGACTAACACGGCTACCTCTCTGAAACTCAATGTAGTCACTGCCTCTAATATGCAGAGCTCGTTATTTGTTTATGTACTGAAGAGGGTCTCTCTCCTTCAACCCAATTGTGCAAGCAGAGAAGGAAAGTGAATCTTAAGGTACTGTGTGTATTTACCTTGGTTGAACTGAATACAAGTTAAAACAGCTCTTCTCCTGCCAAGGTTATCTCATAGATTCCAAGGCCAGAAGGGACCATTGTGATCACCTAGTCTGACCTCCTGTATAACAGGCCAGAGAGCTTCCCCAAAATAATGTCTAGTGCGGATCTTGTAGGAAAAACTTCCAATCTTGATTTAAAAATTGTCAGTGATGTAAAATCCACCACAACCCTTTGCATACTGATCAGTGGTTAATTACTCTCACTGTTACAGATTGATGCTTTATTTCCAGTCTGAGTTTGTGTAGCTTCAACTTCCAGCCACTGGATCATACTATACCTTTCTCTGCTAGATTGAAGAGGCAATTATTAAATATTTGTTCCCCTTGTAGATATTACAGACTGCAATCAAGTCACCGCTTAACCTTCTCTTTGTCAAGCTAAATCAATTTTGCTCCTTGAGTCTTACTATAAACCATGTTTTCTAATCCTTCAGTCATTCTTGTGGCTCTTCTCTGAACCTTCTTCAGTTTATCAACATCTTCCTTGAATTGTGGACACCAGAACTGGACAGAGTATTCCAGCAATTTTTGCACCGGTGCCACTTATTATAGGTAAAATAACCTCCCTACTCCTACAGGAAAATCCCCTATTTATGCATTCCAGGATTGTATTAGCTCTTTTGGGCACAGTGTCACATTGGGAGCTCATGTTCAGATGATTATCCACCACAACCCCAAATCTCTTTCAGATTAACTGCTTCCAAGGATAGAGTCCCTCCTCCTGTAAGTATGGCCTACGTTCTTTGTTCTTAAATATATACGTTTATATTTAGCCATATTAAAATGCATATCGTTTGTGATCAATTTATCAAGTGATCCAGATTGCCCTGTATCAGTGACCTGTCCTCTTCATTCTTTACCACTCCCCCAATTTTTGTTTCATCTGCAGACTTCATCAGTGACACAAAACGATCTCCTTTCCTCCATCCTGCTATAAGAGATGTGTGGACATACAAGTTCTTGAATGCTTTTCTCAGTACAAGGGCTTCTTAACAGGAACACTTTGGAACAGAATCCACAGTGTGTGTCCCTCCTTTTAAAATTATTTTTCATTGTCTGCAGCAAATGATTTTGTTTTTTTAAATGTCCTAGTTTTGGTCCTCACATCAGCCAACAGTGCCGCTCAATATCTTTCCAGAGAAACAAATCCTGTAAGAAAACCAACATGTTCTTAAATCTAGTGAGGTTAGTAATGTGTGATGTAACTTCTGTAGGAAATTTGATATTTTTTTGACTCCATACTGTCAGCATCAAAAATGTTAGGTAATTTACGCACAGCAGAACAAAGCGTGAAAACATTCTCTCAAATAATGTTGATTATTGCATGGTACAATTGGTGTAAGTGGCGCTATACAGCTTTGCAGTTTACAGAAGGCTATTGTCTATGTATGCAAATATTGGGGAAATTGTATATTAAAATAGTAACTTCTAACCTTCTTAGTCCTGCAAGTTCATGTATTGCTAGTATATTACATGTATTGTGGTCATGCTGTTTTAATATTAAACGTTAATAAAGTTAACTCTTTATCTTTTCATATTCTCAGTTTTCTGGCCCTTTACTCGAGCAAGTAATGCCATTAACCTGGTGGAGGGATCAAGCACCATGTTTGAAAGTAGAATGTGTCCCACTTAATTTCTGCAAGGTTCCCCAGTATTTCCTTACAAATGTCAGTACTGAACCAACAACTCTTCTCTGAAAGGGCCTTATACCAATGCTAGTGAAGTCCAAATTGAGGTTTCTTTCCATTTTCCTATTCTGTGTTATGTCAAATGAGCAGTTTATTGCATTTCCAGAAGGAGAAACAAATCTAGAGGAAGAGATATCAATATTCTAAAACAGTGGTTCTCAACCTATTTACCATTATGGGCCCTATATGCAGCTCTCTGTGTTATGTGGGCCACATCCATAGAATACATATATGACCCTGTATGGCCCTAAGGATGTCACATAAGAATGGCTCTACTGGATCAGACTAAAGGTCCATCTAGCCCAGTATCCTGTCTTCAGACAGTAGCCAATGCCAGGTGCCCCAGAGGGAATAAACAGAACAGGGAATCGTCCAGTGATCCATCATCTGTCGCCCATTCCCAGCTTCTGGCAAATATAGGCTAGGGACACGATTCCCGCCCATCCTGGCTAGTAGCCGTTGATGGACCTATCCTCCATGAATTTATCTAGTTCTTTTTTGAACCCTGTTATGGTCTTGACCTTCAGAACAGCTTCTGGCAAAGAGTTCCACAGGTTGACTGTGCATTGTGTGAAGAAATGCTTCCTTTTGTTTGTTTTAAACCTGCTGCTTATTAATTTAATTTGGTGACCCCTAGTTCTTGTGTTATGAGGAGGAGTAAACAGCACTTCCTTATCTACTTTACTTTCTCCACACCAGTCATGATTTTATAGACCTCAATCATATCTCTCCTTAGCCATCTCTTTTCCAAGCTGAAAAGTCCCAGTCTTATTAATCTCTCCTCATAGGAAGCCATTCCATACCCCAATCATTTTTGTTGCCCTTTTCTGAACCTTTTCCAATTCCAATATATCTTTTTTGAGATAGCTGTGGCCCATGGTTGACCCATGTGCTGATTGATCTGCAAGGGAGACGCGGGTTGAGAACTATTGCTCTAGAAATGCTCATGGCCTGTTTGATCTTCATTGTTTGTTTTTTGACTCTGCAGTTTTTATGACTTCAAGGTCTTAGCCCCAGTTTATCCACAAAGTACACACTGGGACCTAATTAATCCTTTTCCTTCATGAATATAACCTCATGTTTGAGATATGAGGGTCATACTACCTTGCATGCCTTTGTGGCACACCTTTTGGAAGAACTAGGCCTATGTCTCTGGTATTTTTCCACTACCGCTCACTTCTTAAATGATTGGTCTGCTTTCTTAATCATGTATATTCATTTTTCAAGATGAGTTTTTTATTTTATTTTTTTTTAAATCACATGATCTCTCTATTTTCGGGGGGGTGGCTGGTGTATTGAAAACACAGCTTGTTCAGTGGCTTTGCCATTGTAGGCCAAGCGTTTAGCAGGATTTCAAAAAAGAAATGGTCACTTACGTGGATAACTGTCTTCTCATTACATTAGTGAGGATTTAGGAAGGGATGATAAACTTTTCTATATAGAGCATAAACCAGCTTCTGACTGAGTTGATTAGGAAGAAACTTCTTTTATGGTAAGATTATTCCACAGTTGTCCACTTCAGGATTTCTTGTACCTTTCTTTTAAGTATCTGGCTATCAAGTGACATGATTCTAGATGGATTGTTGGTCTGATCCAGCATAGCAGTTTGTTTGAGTAGGTTATAGGCTAAGGTCCTAATGCTACAAATATTTATGCTTGTGCTTAACTTTATGCATGTGAGTGTGTGTTTGTTGATTCAGGGCATCAGTTGCATAAGTGAGAGGGAAAGAGAGAAAGATGTAGATTAACAGTCAACAGTAGGAAGCAAACAAGCCATTATCGGTTGAGTCTCAAACTTTATCCCACCAAAGCCCATACTTCAGCATTAAGTTTGGAATACTCCAGTTACTCTATTTAGTTCAGCCTTGAACTTCAACAGATGTCTCTGCTGTTTTTTGCACTGCCCCAATGCATGAAATGTCCTCCTTGAACTAATTTGTAAGCTTGTCTACCACCACCTTGTAGGCTTCACAGTAGAAATGGATTTTGAGGGTTTTTTAAAAGAGAAATCATCTAATGTTGGTTAGGTGGTTGGTGACAGCATGTGTTTAGAGGTTATTTTTTTTAACTTCAGAACCATCAAATTCTGAACATTGTTAGATTGCGTACCTGTTCGCTTATTTTTGCCCCCAAACACACATGCAATCTTTTCTCTCCTATTATTTTTTACTTGCTTTCTTTTCCCCCCCTTTCTTCAAATTAGTTTGCAGTATCCTTGTGGGGTCCGGTCTCCACGTATGTGTGTAGACCACCTAGTACAATGGGGCCCTTATTACCTGGAGATTATTGCAGAACATCTGTGTTTTGAGAATGTATTAACTGTGTTGTGCGTGTCTGCAGCTGTTTGTTCAAGGAGTTTACAAGTCCAGCTGGTGAAGTTGGAGCTTGCAAATGCTGCTCACCCATAGCTCAGGTTCAAAGTTTACAATTTCAGCAAGCCTAACTTTATGTTTCTTTCTTAGTGGAAAATGTACTGGAAACAAAACGTAAAGAATCCATTAATGGAGTGTTAAAACTGCACTGTTTAAAAATCACTACAGTAGGGAAATGTGTTTCTACACTGAAAAGTCACCCTGTTACAAGAGTGTTTTGAATGCCCACATCTGCCACTATTTCCTTGTTCCATTGTTCTGGTTTACAAGTAAAACGATTAATCAGCATTCTTCTGCTTTCAGTGAGAGAAATGCTGGATTGGTTAAAAGATGGGACTTACTTAAATTTTATCCCAACACATTTTTATTCTAAAATCCTCTTTCTATAGTTAATATAGTCTGAGAGAACAAAACTATAAACTCTTTGAAACACCGACATCCCAAAGCAGAGATCTGCTGGCTGGCAAGCTGACTTCATTTCACACAAGCAATAGTGTATACAAAAAAATATTACTAATATATGAATGCATAGTTTGGCCTACGGAATCTTACCTACTGATGGTGACCCACAGGAGGAGAGGAACACTCTGCTATTGGGATGAGTTCTCATGATTGGCAGGTAAAGAAACCTTACCTTATGAAATAGCACTTACCATACTGGGTGTTTCACTGACCGGAAAGTGGGCCCTTTAAGCCAGTAGATGAGCAGCAAGTCACTAAATGTCCAAACAAAACTAATTCTATATCAGACCTTGGATACAAACAGCAGTATAGTAATTGTAATAGAATATTCTCCAGGGTCAGTATTTCTTGCCTTGGAAATAAATGTTTTGCTATTCATAAATGCATTGGCATTGATATGATGTTGTAGCCACGTAGGTCCCAGGATATTAGAGTGACAAGATGGGTGAGGTAATATCTTTTATTGGACCAACTTCTGTTGGTGAAAGAGACAAACTTAGAGCTCTTCTTTAGGTCTGTGTAGCTTGAAAATTTCTCTTTCACCAACAGAAGTTGGTCCAATAAAAGATATTACCTCTCCCCCTTGGCATTAGTATAGCAGCAGGAGGCTACTTTCCTGTGACAATGGTGTATTTCACTGATGTTATCTTATCATTTTAAAATGCATTTTAAAATTCGTTAGTAAAGCTCAAGAAATCTGCAAAGGATTATGCTTGATGTTGGGTCTGATCATGAGAATTAGTTAATGGAGTTATAGGTTCTATCTAGCTCAGATACTTATGTGGCTCCCATTATGTAGAATCTGAGTGTCTGTAATTTATTTCTTCTCATGACGTCCTTGTGAGGTAGGGAAGTACTATTATCACCATTTCGCAAATGAGGAGCTGAGGTACAGAGGCTAAAGTGACTTGCCAAAAGAAGTCTGTGGTGGAGCAAGGAATTGACCTCTGGCCCCTTGAGTCCCAGGTTAGTGCCCAAAACACTGGACCATCATTCCCCTCACTTAGCTCACTCTCCTGGACTGATCTACAAACATAAGATTTATTTTGAATAGATGAGAATACCAGTCCTCCTTCCTGAGTCTTATGGAAAATGCAGTTTGGTGTCCAATGATCTCTTGTATGGCTTAGTTGTGGTGTTGGTTGGCTTTTTAATGCATACAAGCACAGCTTATCTGGTATGGGTTACAGATCTCCTAAATGCTAATACCTTACTTTTCTGTCATAATCCATTTTAATGTGAAATATTTTGTCTGCGAGCACTTCCTTTTTTTTTTTTTTCTTTTTTTTGGGGGTGGGGGGAGGGACTATTGCTCAGGATAACTTTTTTGTAGGCTAAAACTTTGTGTTGGCAGTTCTTCATTCAGTGACATGACTTCCTTTTTAAATACAAATAGAACTTCAACAGACTAGGTTTTGCTTCTTAGTTGTTTTTTTGTCCTTAATCTTTCTCTGTCCATTATTGGAGGAGTCTCATGTGGGCCTGCTGGCACTTACATTCTTAATGAGAGAAGAAAATGACAGGCTTAAGAATATATGGGGTGAAATCCTGGATCTTTTGAAGGCAATGAGTCTTGCCAGAGAATTCAATAACTGCAGAGCTAGGCTCTTCATTACTGACTTTCCTCATGAAATTGTGGGTTCAATATAATGTCTCACTAGAGAATTGTTTGTCAAGTAAACTTTCTCTAAAGTGAGAGTTGAAGCCTCCATCTGATTTTTTTTTATTAAATTGAACATCCTTAATGCCATATTTGTGTCTAGTATTGTTAACATAACGTTTAACAAACACATACTTTGTAACTTAAATATTTAAGGTTTAACTTGACTGCGCAGAGGATCCAATTTAAAGTAAATGTTGCCACTGTTCCCTTGTGCTTTCAATATGTAGGTAGAAAAAGACATTCTAGAG